CTGTTGAGTGTTCCATCCTGAATAGGATGTCTACGTTACTTGTTTCCAAGATCCAGGAAACATCACAGAAGAGAGGAGGGAAAGATTTTAAGAACCAGAGGGTGGAGAGGAGCACAGTGAAACACTATCTTTTGCTGTGGCGCAGGTATAAACACGTGGCAGCTATGGCCACCTGCACAACACTTACTTACACTCAAATGAGATATGCAGCACAGAAGAGGAGTTAGTAGGGAAGAAAAGAAGTGACAGTGGAATAAGTAAGAGTAATGGGAGTAAATAGGATTGCAGCCCAATATATACAAGTATGTCAGTGTAAAATAACGTTAAAAATAAAAATGGGAATAAGAGAAGTCTTGCCTTCATGGTATGTTAGAGCCGAGAAAGTCCTTAAATGGCAAAAGAGTTATTCATTTATTTATTTAATCAGCATCTTGGAATGTAGCCAGGCTGGCCTTATGCTTAGATCTTCCTACCTCAGCCTTCAGAGTTATGGGAGTACAGACGTGTGCCTGCATGTCTGAGCAACTCAAGGGCTTTCTGCAAGGTCACCTGCTATTGCTCAGTCTTGATAAGGAACATTTTTAGCTTAGTTAATACAGTGTACAGACTGGGGTCCTCTGACTCCGGTGTCTGTTTATATTCCTGAGAGTTGAGATGCCAAGCAGGTTTAGGTGATGTTTTATCAGGGTAGGAGCCCAGGCGCTTTATAAAGTTTTTTTACTTAAACTTTTAGATGCATATGAATGCTGTCTCAGAATGCTACTAATGTTTGGGGTCTCATCTTTATCATGTGTTAATGACATTAGGATAGCATCGAAGACAAACTTGGGCATTCTGAACTCTAGCATGAACTTATGAATTATGAAGGTGGTATACTGATAAGAGAAATGGAAGAATAAAATATAAAGGGTTAACAGAAGAATTTCTCATTACGTGTATAGAAGAAAACTATTTGGCATCTGTAGTAGTATGATTTGGATAAGGAAACGGGATCCATGCTGTCTGTTAAACAGAAAATTTACATGAAGAGTCATTAGGTGCCTAAAAGAGTGATTATGATATATAAGCAAACACAGGTTCCCGAGGGTGAGGTCAGGTAACCATGGAAGAACAAACCCACATAGGGGACACACTTCCTTGGAGAAACTACAGTCCATCTATGGTAAGCTTAATGGTTTGGTTTGGAGCTGTTTGACAAGTAGACATTCCAGAGAACACTTGTGGAGTAGGCAGTCAGTCAGCCACCAGCAGTGTGGACAGTGGTGGCTGCCCAAGAGCTACAGGCAAGCAGATGTCCTTCCAGGGTGCTGGGTGGTGGGGATGGGCAAGGTTTGAGTGTGAGAAGGGATCTAAAGGAAGTGCTGTTCTGTGTGTGACCTTCCAGTCTACAGGCAGCAAGGCCTCAGTGTAGCCTTGATACTAGTGCAAAACAGAAGGCCTTTGGGACATGCAAGCCTGTGAAGGTTCTGATTTCAATGTCAAGGTAATGCAGAAGGATTACATTCTTTTTGTGCCAGCCCATGACTGGGCCAAGGTCTGTGCATGGATGGTGCAGGCTCTGCTGGAGGTCCCAATACCCAAACACCTCATGCCCCACCCAGCACAAGGCTGACAGTTCCGTAAGCCTCTCTAATGTGCCCTTCGTAAAAAAAACTGAACAACATGATGAAATGATTGGAGTAATGTTAAAATAATTCACTTGCTTATCTCAAGATACTCATTGAAGGATTTATTTGGAGCGGAGAAGCAGCAAGTCAAGACATACAGCGTCTTTCATTTTGAAACATTGAGGGATTAAGTCAGCATATTGAATGTAGAAATGATGCAGAATATGAGTGTGACTCAGTTTGCAACCTTGCTCTTTGAAGTGATGATGTGTGAATCTTAGGAGTAGATAATATGTATCTTACTGATTGTACACAAGGACATGCTGAGCTTTGATTATCACACTCCTGAGATCTGTGGGAAGCTGCTTGGGTTTGTAGTAGTTGGTTGCATTTTTGATAGTTGTCATGGTGATGGTATTTAGGGTTTTTGTTTAGGGGAGTGGTTTAGTTCTTTCCCTCTATTTGCTGACCACCTCCTCTCTCATCTAGACTAGTGGATTGGTTTTTACCAAAATGAAATTTCGTTTAGTTTGTCCTGGTCATCAAATGACTTTTTGTGTGTTAATATTCTTCAATTTTCCAAGTTAAAATCTTTCCCTTATGTGAGCCAATTATCACACTGGCTTAGTGGACTCCCTTAGTAACATTCTTGGTGTCTGTTGTGCCTTGGCAGTTTCCTCAAATGATGTGTACCATGACTGATACTCATTTTTTGAGGTTTCAAGTTTTTATTTTTACAAATCACAGCTGATATACACCACCACCTTCACCCAGAGAGGGTACCACCCAACTCCTGGACTTGGCACTAAGAAAAGAGTACCTCTCCACAAGGGCTTGTACTGATAGGCAGGAGCCTATGAACACTGAAGTATAAGAAGGGACATGGAGGCTTAGGCCAGAGCTACAGTGTGTGCTGTTCCTGAACAGCTCACTTCCAGTTTGCATTTAGAAATCTGACAAGTGCAGTTTGTCCTTAATGGACTTCACCCCTGATTTTTCTACTTTCTGATTGGGTATCTGTCTATATAGCCTTCTGTAACACCATGATCATTCTGTTCTCTACTTAGGGTTTTCTGCTCATGAGAGAAATCAAAGATAGAGTTTTTGGTGTTGGATGCTGAGTGTAAGCCACAGAGATCCTACTTTTCTCCTGGCACCAGGAATGAACTCTTTCATCTGCTTGCCTGGTTCATTCAACATTGGTCCTGTAACCCTTAAGCCATCTTCTGGCCTCTTGACAGTAGGCACTGTCTCCCTTCACAAGTCAATTGGCAAAGATCTTATAATTTGTTTCCCAAGAGAATAATAAAGAGGTAGTGAGCTCAGTGGGTCATTCTGTGAGTTTCCAGGTTGCCTTTCTCCTGTGGTTTTGGTCATTTCCTAAGCTCCTGCATCTCTGGCCTGCATGCTTGGTTGATGACTTCCTCCACAGGTGGGCTTCTCAGGGAGAGGTCCAACCCTGACTTCTGGAAGAGACTGGCAGCTACTTTACAAAATATTGTCCTTTTGGATTTTTTTCCCAGTCTTGAGATATTACTGTGCTCATAAATCCTTTCATTGGAAGCACAGATCTAGATCAAACAGTTTGAAGTTAAATAAATGTTGACAAGGTATAGAATAGTTGTAGTCATTAATGGATGTGTCTTAATTGGAGTTTTTATTGCTGTGAAGAGATAACCATGACAGGGCAACTCATAAGGAAACAATTAATTGGGATGGCTTGCTTACAGTTCAGAGGTTCAGTCCATTATCGTCATGGTGGGATGTGGCAGTCTGCAGGTAGACATGGTGCTGGAGAGGTAGCTTAGAGTTCCACACCTTGTGCAGACAACAGGAAGCAAACTCTGACACGGCGTGTGGCTTGAGCACAAAGCCCACCCCCACAGTGAAACACTTTCTCCAACAAGGCCGCACCTCCTGATAGTGCCACTCCCTTTGGGGGGGGCATTTTTTTTTCAAACCACCACAGAATGTAGTGGCATGTTCCATGAGGACGTCCAGTGGCTTCTCTTCTTGAGGCGTACTCTGGGAATACTTAGTGCTCTTGCCAAGTCAGCTAAACTTGTTCCTCATATTTGGTATCTATACATATTGAGAAATCATACGTTTTTCATCCCGATTAAAACCTTGCAGATTTCCTTTAGAATAGTGGTTCTCAATCTTCCTAATGCTGGGACCATTTAATATAGTTTTTCATTGTTCGGGTGACTCACCCCCCACCATAAAATTATTTTGTTGCTACTTCATAACTGGGACTTGCTAAAGTTATGAATCATAAGGTAACTATCTGATACGTAGGATATCTGATATGCACCCCCCATGAAAGGGTTGTTCGACCCCTAGGTTGAGAACTCCTACTTTAGAAGCTGGTTTTAAATGTAGCTTTGAAATGACACATACCCATTTTAATTTATCATTTTACTAACTCCAAATGCCAAGGGGTTTCTCTAAGTCCAGCCATGTGTTTTCAACGTTTAAGTACTTGAGATATCATAGATGTCAGTTCTTAGGAGTTTTAAAATGATATCATAGCATTCCCCACCTATGTGAGACTGTGATGAAGACACTGTTTGCTGTCCATGGGAGAGTTTTATGTACTGGGTGGTGGGTATTGTGGTCAGTTTAACAACTCAAGGGTAAGAAAAGATTAGAGGCTGTATGCAATGAAATGTTTAAAATAAACATAATGAATGGATATAATCAATAGCAATGCCATGAGAAAAATTATTTATATTGACTTGCTAAATTAAATTTTTGGGAAATTGCATATTTTTATCAGTATACACTTTGCCATGCAATAGCTCTCCTCTCATGCTCTTCTTTATTCATAATAGTCTCTTGGAGAATTTTATTTATATCCTCCAAGTTTTCTGAGAGCTTCAAAACATGTTATTTTTTGAAGAAATGTAAAGAATCCCCTTTTAGAATGCTATTGTAAAGGAGTCGTTTTAAAAGGGACTTTTTAAAGTAGTAGTTTCCCTTTCAAAATAAACATTTGATTACTTGATTCGCGGAACCCACTTTCCCTAGAGACGGACATGAGAAGAGCCCTAGAAGGAAGTGGGTTTAGCAAAGACTGACCACAGTGATAAGTATTGCTCACAATTCGCTTTTGTTTTTGTTGGCTCCTGCTGTTGGCATTGACTTAAAGGGCTTTAAGATTCATATTCTTTTCTTAATAATACCAAATCTCAAAACACTAGTACTTGTTGGGTGGGGAAAAGATTTATGAGTTTGCCAAGGTCTCTGGCTCTGACATACAGGGCTGACGAAGGAGGATGCTGCACCCAGCGGATTCTGTGGGTTATAGGACTGCCCCATAGCCTGGCTAGTCCTGTTCTCTCTCCTTCCTTCTCTGCTCTTGGCCCTGCTTGGCAGTGTGCACCTGGCTGAACAGTGGAATGTGTCAAATGGTAGGTAACCTGGGCTATCGCTGTGCCTAGCAAAGGGTCACTGAAGTATCACAATTCTAAATATGGTACTGGGAAATTCTTCAGTAGCATTGCCCTAGTTTTTGTCAGCCTTCCTCATGCCACGCTGCACTCGCCTTCTGCAATACGGTGTAATGAAGTCCCTATAAGTGCATGCAGTGTTGTTTTTCCTCAGGACCTGCTCTTGGTATGAAATACCTCTGAAACTCAAGGCCATTTCCTCTCCATGAGTTCACAGCCTTTAGATAAATACAATTTTCTTTTATATCTGTGGCATGAGTAATGGCACACATCATTGAAGGATTATAGCTACAGCGTAAGAACAGCCATTGCTGGCACCAGGATGTGTATGAGAAGGCTGGGGTTCAGTCTTCACCCTTCAGCTGAGGTTTGGTTTTCTCATCTTAGAGGGATTGGTACATTAACAAGGTCAGGTGATTCTTATGTTTAACAAAGAAAGCTTGCCATTGTCTTCTTTGTACCCCTTCTGTCATTTCTAGGTGTAATTACCTTGTCCTTATAAGTTGGAAGTCACATGATTTGGTTCAGGTTGCTATGAATTATGAATAAGTGTTTAAATAATTTATGTACAAGCTGTTTTAAAAATGTCCATTAAAACTTCATAGTATTAACACATGCACACCCCCCTGTAATCTAATTGAAAATTGATTTACTAGTGGTGACACTAATTACTACTACACTTCATAGCAGTTTAAAAAGCAATATTCTGCTAGTAGTGATTGTGCATTCATGTAATTTCAGGTACTTACAAGGTGGAGGCAGGAGAGTAGGCCAGTGTGGGCAGCCTAGGGAGACCCTGTCCCAAAATCAATTATAATAAAAGGGGGCTGAAGGTCATTTTCAGTGGTAGAGCACTTGTTTAGGATGTGTGAGGCCCTGGGTAGAAGCCCTGGTAACAGAAAGGAAAATAGGGATATATTTATAGTCTCATCAGCATGCAGGAAATAGGCACTTCTGCTGGTCTCAATTGTTGAGTGTCTTTTGCATTCTGTGACATTGTTTTTCTATTTTTTTCTTTTTTTTTATTTGAGTTACAGACATGATTGAATTACGTAACAATCCCAGTTCCCTTCTCCCTCCCCTCCTCCCCTACCACCCCCCCTACCTATCGCATATCCTTTCTTCTAATCTACACCTGTCTCAAACTTTCTGCTCCCTCATGACCTCTGTGTCCTTCGTAGCTCCCTCCGCCCTCTTCCCATGCTCTCAATTTGCTCAGGGAATCGTGACCCTTTCCTGTTCTCCAGGGGACAAAGTTTGTCTCTTTTAGGTTCCTCCTTGTTTACTAGTTTCTCTGGCAGTGTGTAATGTAGGCTGGTAATCCCTTACTCTATGTTTAAAATCCACATATGAGTGAGTACATATCATGTTTGTCTTTTTGTGATTGGATTATCTCACTCAGAATGGTTTCTTCGAGTTCCATCCATTTTCCTGCAGATTTCAAGATTCCATTGTTTTTTTCTGCTGAGTAGTATTCCATTGTGTAAATGTACCACATTTTCTCTATCCATTCTTCAGTTGAGGGGCATCTAGGCTGCTTCCAGTTCCAATTCTGGCTATTACAAATAGTGCTGCTATGAACATCATTGAACAGATGTCCTTGTTGTATGAATGTGCTTCTTTTGGGTATATGCCTAGGAGAGGAATTGCTGGTTCTTGTGGTAGACTATTCCCATTTTCTTGAGGAGTCGCCATACTGATTTCCAAAGTGGTTGTACAAGTTTGCACTCCCACCAGTAATGGAGAAGTGTTCCCCTTTCTCCACATCCTCTCCAGCATAAACTGTCATTGGTGTTTTTGATTTTAGCCATTCTGACAGGAGTAAGATGGCATCTCAGAGTTGTTTTGATTTGCATTTCCCTGATGGCTAAGGATGTTGAAAATTTTCAGCCATTTTAGATTCCTCTATTGAGAATTGTCTTTTTAGTTCTGTACCCCACTTTTTAACTGGATTGTTTGGTGTTTTTGAGACTAGCTTCTTGAGTTCTTTGTATATTTTGGAGATCAGCCCTCTGTAAAATGTGGGGTTGGTGAATATCTTTTCCCAGTCTGTGGGCTGCCGTTTTGTCTTACTGACTGTGTCCTTTACCTTACAGAAGTGTCTCAGTTTCAGGAGGTCCCGTTTATTAATTGTTGATCTCAGTGTCTGTGCTACTGGTGTTATGTTCAGCATCACCATCCCTGACTTCAAGCTCTATTACAGTTGTGCCATTGTTTTTCATGCTGTTGCCCATTCTCACATAGGCCTGTCTGCATTGACAAGGGATGCACATACAACTTGATGTGGAAAACATGATTGCTAAAGGGTCCAAGTAGACTGTTAGAAGAAGCATTAGTGAATGACATCGTTCAGGACTTAGATGAGTATGGATAAAGATACAGTTACAGTAATAATATATTTGTAACAAAGTTTATGTCAGAACAATGTGAAAACACTTGAAGTTTTTTTAAAAATGGAATTTCTCAAATTTGTAAGGTAACAACTAAAAATTGTCCAAGCTTTTGTTTATCTTGAACATCTAGGACAGTTTAATTCTTCCTTTTGAAAATCGGTTTAAAGCCTGAAGCCTGCCTTAGGGATTATAAAGCACTGTCATATAGCAGAGTTTCTTCTGGGTCACAGAAGTTCCACTTTAGTGAGAAGGGAGCCCCAGGAGGAGTAAGGTGCCTCCTAGGCTGACTCATTTTCTTGCCTGTCTGGTCCCAGTGGAAACACTGCAGGGCCCCTGTCTCTTGTAGGATTCTGGAGGCTGATTATCTCCAGGAGGAGATAAGGTTGTTGTTCTTTTCTTTCCCCAGCCGAGTAAGGATCCCTGATTAGGAGTAGAATGGAATTTGGGGGTAGGAATGTTTATGGGTGGGAGCCTTGGGTGTGTCTTCCAGTGGAATGTCTTTAACTCCAAAGAGTGATTACAGGACCTGGTGGGCCTGGAAAGGGAGTCAGCTCAGGGCCTGGAACAGAATAGGTCAGTTAATCTTCTCCCTAAATATTTTTTTTTTTTTTTTTTTTTTTTAGGCAGGAACCTGTGAGGCATAATGCCTGAAGGCAGAGTTTAGGCTCAAAGGTATTCTCTATAGATGCAAAGCTAAGTAGAAAATAGAGGACTGGAGAGATGGCTCAGTGGTTAAGAGCACTGACTGCTCTTCCAGAGGAGCAGAGTTCAATTACAACTGTCTGTAACTCCAAAATCTGACACCCTCATACCGACTCACATTCAGGCAAAGCACCAATGCAAGGAAAAGTAGAAAATTATAAATAGTTAATGCTAGATATTTTATTGAGCCCCATTTTCTTTTTTCTTTTGGTTTTTTGAGACGGGGTTTCTCTGTATTGCTTTGGAGATCAAGCTGGCCTCGAACTCAGAGAGATCTGCCTTTAAAGGCGTGTACCACCTCCCAGCTTAGCGCCCCAAACCATTTTTACTGTTTTTTTTTTTTAAGGGGAAAATCTTTTTCCCCTCTCAGGATATGTTAATGCTTATGGCTCCTTATATATGTAATTTATATCAATACTATACAATTGGTATGCTCAATCTGACTTTGAAGAAATCCAGGCTTAATAATGCAATAGTAAAAGACCCCCCAGAGGCTCAGGCCCCCAGGATGTCAGTCCAGGCCGCAGTGACCCCAATCACCAGGCAGAGGTGAAAACTTGATGCAAACAGCATGAGGCTTTATTGCAGTTGTTTAACGTGCTAACCCCATGTTAGCTCAGGCCTTTCATCTATCCACCATGGCGGATAGCTGGAAAAGACACCGAGAAGCCACTCGATAGAGATTTTATAGGGCATTGTGGGGGAGTGTCTAGGGGGTACGCACAGGCTCAGGTTTGGTGTGCCTCTAGGCTTGGAGGACTTGCCCTTTGTTGATTGGCTAACTGGTTGTTAGGGCTCATAGGCCTCCCAGGGCGGTTGCTATGCTCTGCACGTCATTGCTGTGCACTTGTCCATAAAGCACACCTAGAGCTGTAAACTTCTGATTGGTTTCTTGCCACAAGGCAGGCATCTGACCTCCTAGTGACCAAGGCAAGGTCAGGCAAGCACGTGTTAGGCTGCTATGGCTGCTGAAATGGGGAGCTGGTCCCTTCAATAGTTGGGTCAAGGTTACTAGGTGATGAAGTCTACATTGGGATGTCAGTCTTTTGAACTTGGGCTATTTGTTTCTTAATTATGATCCTATCTTGAAACAGTAGCCATTTCTAGTTTTGTGATAGTTGAAGCCTCAACTTTGTTTTTTTAGGGGACAGTGGGGGTTGGTTCTGGGCATGCTTCTGCTTCTTTCCTAAAGCCACATTTGCTGAGTGTCTATCAGGCTGTGGTTTCCTGAATCCAAGCCTGGTGACTTTAAAACCTGTCAGGGTGAAGGAACCCATAACATCTCACCCTCAAAATCAGCTTTGTGATTTCATTCTTATTTCTGTTTTACTGTTATTTTGAGACAGCTTCTCAATGTGTCACTGAGGTTGATTTTGAACTCCTGGACTCAAGGAATTGCTCTGCCTCAGGCTCCTGAGCTGAGTACCTAGAGCTAAAGTATGTGCTGCTACACCTGACAAGATGCTGACTTTTAAGAAATTAAGTTCTAGAGAGTTAGGAGTTGAAAGAGGTTTTTTTCTGCTGTCCACTTACTGGTATTCCAACCAGTAGTGCATACGGTAACTTCCATTCCCTTGCTGGCAAATCATCTCAAAGAAGACTGGAGAAATCAGTTTACCCCGTGGACTTCCCTTACCAGTAATCTCTCCCTTGGCTAATTTTAACTTTTACCTTGGAGATCGACTAAGCTGTTGAGCATTGATTACAAATCATCCTGTAGATTTTATGATTATATAGTAAAGTGGTTGAGAGCTGGTTGTAGCTCAGTAGTGGAATGTGTGCTTAGAGTGCTGGTGGGCCTGAGTTCAATCATCAGTATCATACAACATGCACGCATGCACGCATGCACGCATGCACTCGCACATG